GTTCTACGCATTCTTCAAGATAAACAGAAATGCCATTTCACTTGGGAGTTCCCACAAGATAATTTTTAAGCTACATAAAAATTCACAACTAAAACATGAGAAAAGGATCTGGTCATTTCTACTTTCTGTTGAGCCAAAATGGTTACTTCTACTATCATCTAAATATAGTGACTATTTACATACAGATTTGAACCATTTTCATCATCTCCACATAAAGCTTTTCTTGCCTATTAAAGTTACTAATTTATGTGGAAAGGCTTCAGGAGTACATCTGTGTAACAGCTATTTAGAGAAGCTAGTTTAACAACTTTTTTCTACCCAACCTAAATATTTATTTCAGCTTCGCAGAAATAAATTACTACATCTTATATTCTCAGCAACATTAATAATAATACATTACTCACATATAGAGGGGGGAAAAGTTTTTGCTTAATATCAGAATTTAATAAAACTATTTTCTAAACTTAAAATCTACTTTTTTAAAAGCAATTAGATCAGCAAAACAAAAAAAAAACCCATAAAAATATTCTAGCAAGAAAATTTTCTACTTCCCCTTGAAGCTTGATGTACATAATAAAATCCAACCAACCACTAAAACATCTCATAATATGGCTTCAATTTAATTTCTAACCTTATTTTCCCATTACTATAAAACAAAATATTGCACATTCTTTCCAAGATGGTCACCAACTATTCACTGAATGTAATTTGCTTTAAAGTTTTGTTTATCTGTGTTATGAGCAAGGACTATGGAGTACAAATGCCTGGATTTAATCTTGCTTTGTCATCTACTAATAGTGTCATCTTGGGCAACCTATTTAACCTGTCGGTGCTTCAGTCTTCTCATATGTAAAATGGAGTTGATGTCTAACTCATGCAGTTGTAAGAATCAAATGGTATAAAACATGTAAAAGCTCTGCTATGATCAGAATGTTTGTGTCCCCTCCTCCAAATTCATGTTAAAATCCTAACCCCTAACGGTAATGGTATTACTAGGGGGGGGCCTTTGGGAGGTGCCAAAGTCAAGGGTGGAGTCCTCAAGAGTGGAGTCCTCAAGAGTGGGTTTGGTGCTTTTATAAAAGAGGCTCCAGAGAGATGCCGAGCGCCTTCCACCAGGTGAGGATACGCTAAGTCTGTGACCCAGGAGAGGGCTCTTACCTGACCAGCCTCCAGAACTGCGAGAAATAAATTTTGGTTGTTTATAAGCTACCCTGTCTGTGGTATTTCGTTATAGCAGCCCAAACGACTAAGACAAGACACATTCTGAAAACTCTACTGGCTAAGTGCTCAATAAATTTTGGCTGCCATTGTTAACATCAGTGTGACTCCTTCTGTCCCCCTTGGGAATCTCCTCCATCCATCTAAATCTACTCAATTTTCAGCTCAAAATAATAATTTCTAAGACGTCTCCCTTAACTCCCTTAACTCTATGGATTTATAAAAATCCTGCTATCCTCTGAACTCATATAACAATCAGGACCCATAGCAATGACATTTGGCATTGACCTTAAATCTTAGATAGCTAATTAACTTTTCATAAAAAGTTAATTAACTACGTAAGGTATTTTTCTTCCCTTACCAAGTAAAGTGTAAATTACCTCAACATGAAACACACACACTATTATTTTTATATTGCCCCAAAAAAACTTGGCACAGGGCATGCCCCTAACAGGCACACAGTAAATATCTGTAGAACTAGTTAATGCAACCCATACGCAGTTGAAGGGAAACATAAATTGTAATCATGAGGCTTTCAGACTGTCTTTACTAATGATCAACACATACGACCTAAAGACAAGGGAGAAAAGAATGTGTTTCCTGATTTAATTTTCAGATCTACTACAAAAAAAAAAAATGTCTATTCTCAAGAGATGAAAACATTCCTGCACATATTTGGAATCACTGACAGAACCAAAGCAGAACAGAATGATGGGAGGAAAAAATTAAGAGTCCTCGCCCCCCCCTCCCCCAATCTGGAAGTAATTAAGAAGAAACTCAAAGGAAGTTTATATTCTACTTTGGCAATGTGTTGAATAAACTGATCCTTTAGTGAAACCCTGAATTTAGAATCTGGTTCAATTCAACATTAACTAAGCACCTTCTATTTTTATATAAATCCCACCATCTCTTGTAGTATTTTTAATGTCTACCATTCATTCAGGCAATTAGCTATTAACACTTTTCACTCTTCATTTCACTCTTTCATGTGTTAACTTATAAGTTCTTTCTCATAAAACATGGATCTTGATTTCTACTTTTTAGAATTACCTTCGTTATGTGGTAAAATATTTTGCACATAGTAGACCCTCAAATATTGGTTTTGACTGAACATGTAAACTAACAGTATATATTCCTGGATGAGTACTAATGCAGCTGAATCTGTGGCCACCATACACCGAGTGCGTATGTACACCACGCACTTTACACGTAACAGCTAATCCACATCGCAACCCTTTGAAATAAGAATAATCTCTTTTACAAATTGAGAAACTGTGGCCTCAAAGAGCCTATGAAAACTTTCCAAGATACCACAGTTAGTAAGAAGTGAAGCTGTGACTTCAATCCATGTCTTATTTCTATTTATCTTTCCATTATGCCATATTGCTTCTCTAAAGCAATAAGTCATCTTCAGAACCACGGTTGAGGGGTACAGTAGGACGCTGACATGACTTCTCAAATGTTTGTGACAGAAAAAAGTAGGTTTAGGTCAGTGAAATGGCACCGAGTTTTTGTTTTGTTTTGTTTTGAATTTACAGCAAATGCCAAGGGCTATCAATCTTTTACAAATGACATATCAAAATCTTGCTCTCCATTTACTGCTGGAGTGCTTACAAAAGAAGGTATTAAATCTACTGCCTATCTCTGACTTGACCTACGATTTCAGTGCAAGATTAAGCTTTGACCTCCAGCTTGTAAACAGGGGTGGAGAAAGAGGGTTGTGTTACAAAATATATTGGATGCCAACTCTTCAGACCAGTAGGGAGAGGAGTATACTGTGAGTAACTAATTAGAACATCCTACTCTTCAATCATTCACAATAAACAATGCTATCATATTCACTTTTTAAAAACAGATTCACTGTACTAGCATACTAGCAAGAATCTCTTATTTCCATTAAGGTTTGTCAAGCTACTCCACTTGCTAAATTAGAGATTATGCTAAACTCAGAGGCGAAGAAACAAAACATATCCATTGGCCTTTTTTATCAAAGGCAAAGAGTTTCTCCGGTTTACCAAGAAATGCTTCATTGGTACCCGTGATGCCCAGCTTCAGGCATGAATAACTGACATTTTATATTCCCACTAGCAATGTGTGTGAGTGCCAGTCCCTCCAATCCTGATTGATACTTGGTATTGTAGAGAGACTGGCACTCACGTACATTGCTAGCGGGAATATAAAATGGCACAGCACTTTGGAAAACACTTTGGCAATGTCTTAAAAAGTTTAACATATGCCTACCATGTGATCGAGCTACCCCATTCCTAGGTGTTTACTATCATAAATGAAAACAAACATCCATACAAAGAATTTACATGAATATTCAATACTTCTAATAACCCAAAACTAAAACAAACAAAAACCTCAAATGTCCATCAACAGATAAACAAACTGTTGGACATCCATATAATGAAATACCACTCAGTAATAAAAATGAATGATTAGTACATACAGCAATATGGATACATCTTAAAATAATTACACTGAGTTAAAAGAAGCCAAGAAAAAGAGTATATACTGTATGATTCTGTTTATAGAAAATTCTAAGAAATATAAACTTATGTATAGTGACAGAAATCAAATCAATAGTTGCCTGGGGATGGGGGCAGGGGAAGCAGTGCAGGGAAGGGCAGGAGAAAAAGACTAAAAGGAGAAATAAAGAAACTTTAGGGGGTGACAGGTATGCTCATTATCCTGGTTATGGTGATGGTTTCATGAACGTATACATATGTCAAAACTTATCGATTTATAAACTTTAAGTATGAGCAGTTTTTATATGTCAATTATTCCTCAATAAAGCTATTAAAATCTAATAGAATCAATAAAACTCAAAACTCATACATGTGAAAAATTAAAAGAACAGAAAATCTATGGTATGTATCCTCAAGTTATGAGCGTCTGAGAAGGTCTCTGAGAGCTGTTTAGAATTGGCTAAGTAGAAAGGAAGGACAAGGGAATTGCAAAGAATAAAAACAAGAATAAAAACCCATGAAGACATGAAAATGCAGTAAGACCTAAAAGTAAATTACTCTTTTATGAAGTTTTTAATTACATAACTTAAAAAAAAAATTGCTTAGTGATTAATATGCATGTCATTTACTAGCAGGAAAAAAAAATGCAGTATCATGTTTAAGAGATAAAATATGGGCAAAACATGTGAACAGACATGTCTCTAAGAAAGATTTCAAGTGGTCAACATCGTTAGTCATCAGGAAATCAAAACCATAATGAGATACCACTTTATAACCATTAGGATGGTTAGAATCAAAAAGTCAGGTAATAAGTTTTGGTGAGGAAGTGGCGAAATTAAAACCTTCCTACACTTCTGGGAGGAATGCAGAATGGTGCAACCGCTTTAGAAAACAGTCTGGAAGTTCCTCAAACAGTTAAGCATAATGTTATTGTATGACTCAGCAATTCCCAAGAAAAATGAAAACGTATGTCCACACAAAAACTAATATAAGATGTGAATAACAGGCGAAACTGTGTGTTTGGTAGAGAGAAGGGGGTAGTATTTGGGAACTGTACCTTCCCATCAGTTTTTCTATAAACCTAACAGGAACTAAAATACTAGAAAACAATATCATGGAATGTGGGAAGATAAAAGTTAAAACATTCTAAGATCCTTGTATTGTTTGGGGGAGAGATATGTTGATTATCTTTAGAGTCTGAGTCAAATAACGTATGTTAAAAATTAAACAGAAACGACTAAATTAAAAGATTAAGTGAAACAAATTTCCTTCTTACAAGCAAATCTATTATTTTTACCTGTGGTGGCTTACCTGAGATTCTAGAACCTCCAACTTACGTTTCCTTGCATGAAGCGCTTTACTTGGAAAAGCCCAATAATAATTAGAAGTTCCAATCCTCTCACAGTCAACCATACCATCATCAACTAAGCTTTGAAGAACTTCTTTTACTGACATAGCAGCTATAAGAGATAATTTTTAAAGACTCTACATTAAGACACATCATAAATAAAATTATAAGGCAAATAACTAGGGAAATACTTGCAACAAATATTACAGATCAAGAGTTAATAAGTTAATAAATAAGGAGCTTTTAAAAATAATTTAAAAAGACAAATACTTCAATAGAAAAACAAAAGTACATCAATGGGCATCTACAAAATATGCATGGTCAGTAAACAAGAAAAATGTTCAACCTCATTAATAACTGAAGAAATCTAAAATAAAGCAATGAGATATGATTTCTTGACTACCAAATTAAAAAAACTAAAAAGTACAATAAAGGATTCGGGGAAATAGGTACTCTCAACATGGGTGAAAAACATGGCAGTATGTATCTAAAACCTTAGATTTTGCATGCCTTTTATGTAGAAATTCCACTTTTAAAAATTCAGCCAAAGAAAATAATGATGGATATGCATAAGGATGCTTGTCAAAGCAGAGTTGTCAACAGTAAAAAAAATTGGAAACCAGTCCGATAACTAGACTTTTAAAAGTATTTTATTACAATGGAATACTAGGTAATCATTTATGTTATAAAAATTTATTTAATGGCAAGGTATATGCACATCCAAAACGTAAAAATCAAGTTAAAAGACAGTATACACTAATGTGACAATGGTTATCTTTGAATGGTAGGTTAGGGGGTAATTTTTTTCCTTCTTTTTGCTCATTTTTAATTTTTTTCTAACAATAAACATGCATTGCCTTTTTTGCTAAGAAAACTAAAATAAAACTATTATAAAAAATTAAATAATTTACTGGAGATTATGGTTGGGGTAATAGTACAAATTAGAAAAAAGCTTTTAAAAATAGCATGTAAAAAATACAAAGTCCTATTTCACAAATGTTTGAAATTCATAAACGATTCTCACTTTCTATTAAACTGTGTCAAGAAATCATCCATATTTTAATGTCCATTTTGATTTTTCCTAGAGCAAGTCCCCAAATATAATAAAATCTATTAAAAAATTAAAGATTCAATAAATAAAATCAATGCTGAATATGCAAAACATTCAACCTCACTTGTAAAGAAGTACGAACTGAAATGAAATATTAAAGAACACTAAAAATGAAAACACAGTTCTGAGAAATGAATATGAGTAGAATTTGGTATAGCCTTTCCTGAGGCAATTTGAGAATACATACAAAAAGACTAAAACAACACAAGTCTCCATTTTCTATTCTATTTCTAGGGACATTTCCTACTGAGGTAATGAGATGTAAAAAAAAAAAATTATGTGGGGAGAGGTAGGGATGAATAGGCAACGAATGCACAGAGGATTTTTAAGGCAGTAAAAATACTCTGTATGGTACCATAATGATGGATCCGTGTCATTACACATTTGCTTAAACCCATAGAATGTAAAAAACCAAGAGTGAACCCTAATGTAAACTGTGGACTTGAGATGATCACAATGCATCAATGCAGGTTCACCAACTGTAGTATATGCACCACTGGTGAGTGATGTTCATATCAGAAGCTATGCATGGCAAGTGTATGAGAAATCTCTGTACCTTCATCTCAATCTTTCTGTGAACCTAAAACTGCTCTAAAAAAATCAGTCTTTTAGAAAAAAATTTATGGATAGCACGTTAATTACATATTAATTTTAGCAGCAAAATTTGGGAACAACCTAGATATTCAACAATAGTTAACAGGGCTAAGCAAGTAATGGCACAGTAGGTGGTCATAGAGTTAAACATTAGAAGAGGCAGATATTGTAAATCCTTTTTTTAAAGCAAATGACAGAGATAAATGTAGATGATATAATGTTATATGAAAAAATACATGAACACAAAACTGTACATGCAGCATAGTTCCTTCTCAGAGAAATGGACAGATACATACATTCAAAGACAAACAGAATCTAAGAATAAGACATCAAAATACAGCAAAATGTTAACAGTGGTGTTCTCAGAAGAGAGAGATTATAAACTTTTGTAATTTGTAATTTCCAAATCTGTTAAAATAAGCATGTATATTACACAGTTTACGTAATCAGAAAGTAAAGTTTAACAAAATGTGTATCATATATGGTGGGTTTAACGGTGACCTCTCAAAAGATGAACCCCAGAATCTATGAATGTGACTTTATTTTGAAAAAGCATCTATATAGATGTAATTGAGGATCTCAAGATGAAATCATCCTGAATGTAGGATGGGTCCCAAATCTAATGACGTGTCCTTATAAGAAACAGAAGGGGAGAAAACAAAGGGGAAGCCATGTGAAGAGAGGCAGCAATTAGAATGATGGGCTTATAAGCAAAGCACTGTGGGCAGCCACCCGAAGCTAGGATTCCCCCCACAGCCTCCAGAAGGAGCTGCCCCTGCCGACACCTTGATTTTAGACTTCTGGCCTCCAGAACTATGAGAGAATAAATTTCTACTGGGTTTAGGCACCAGGTTGGTGATAATTTTCTGCTACAAAAAACTAATATAGCTGCAGAAAACCAACACACCATGTAAAGACAAAGTCACATTTAACAAATACTAGAACATACATGAATAGTTTTTCCTTCTTTTGAAGTAAATTCTATCCATAAATAAATGTGTATATTTGGGTGTACATATGTGTGTGTGTGTGTGTACACGGGCATGCATGCATATTCCATTTTAATTTTCCTAGAACAGATACTCCACAGGACTCATGGCCAAGGCCCAAAGACATCATGTAAGGACTTTTACATTCATCTCTACAAATCTGTTTCCATAAAGTGAAAGTAGAAAAGATGTAGCAGAAAAGATGACCAATATTTCCCTAAATCCCTTGCATGCCTTTGATACTTACTAATGCCTTTCTCTTTGGGAGCAATCTTCTCCATGTCTTTTAATTGAAATACATCTTTCTGTTTAAAAGAGTTTTTTTTAAAAAAGAGAGATGAAAAACGTGTTTATTCTCTGCTATATATTTATATTTACCATAATTATGTTCATAAGACATTGTACTAAAAAAACTATTCCTGGAAATGAACAATAAAATCAAGTATTTGGGGGCTGAAAGCACAATTATCATGTTCAATACTTTCAAGAGAAGTTACAATGGACAGATTTTACATGAACAAACAATCCTTTAAAGTAATTGGAGAGAACATACTCTCACTGAAATATGAAAACTAGTTATGATGAATCACTTGTTAACATGAGATAATCAGCTTTTCTGACACGTTGATTTTAAGAAAACACAAACAGTACTTCGCTTAGCATATATCATACATTACAGATTTAGCAGTTCTAATAAAAAGCAAAACATAGACTGTCAAGAATTGTTTACATGGACGAGTACACTTAAACAATAGGAAAATTATAAATTTCATGGCTGCCTGTCAATCATTCACCTACGCATGCTGCATATCCACCAAAGCAAAATGTTATGGGAAGCTATATGTGTAGAATATTTATATTATGGTTAGAAAAAAAATCTACGTAGAATACTCCTTTCTTCTCGTAATAAGCCTTGGTTGAAGTGGTGAAAAAAACTTGGATAACAAAAGTGAAATATTTGAGAAGACAGAAGTACTCAGTAATTAGAAGAGAATTATTGTGATTGTTGTTATGGAAATCTGGGATCTAGCTCTTCCAAAATACACTTGAAAAGGCAACTTCAATAAGATGGAACTTAGGGTCAAAAATTTAAAACTTTAAAACATCCAAATTTAAAAATTTAAAACATCCAAGGGTACTATTAAGAAATTTAAAAGACAAATACTGACTAGAAGACAATATTCACAAAACATATACCTAACAAAGACTGGGCATATATTCTTTCCCCCAAGACAAACTGATGGATAAAGGGGTAGTAGATGAATATATATGTGATAAAGTAGAGTAAAATGTTCATGGTAGAACATATAGATATCACTGTAAAATTCATTCATCTTTCATAATAAAATGTTGTTAAAAGTAACTTCATCTCACTATACTTAAGATTTAGTAAATTAAGGAAAATATTAAGTCATTGGTCTTAAAGTATAAAATCAATTTTTGCACATCTGGGCATAAACCATTTTAGGTAATACTTTATGGTCTCAGAGAACATGCAATGAATTACTGACTTCAGGTCTCTAATGCATTAAAAAAAATCAATTAGTCAAATCTATTTGCAAATACCTTAGATTCCCTGGAAAAAGAACATGAACTCATTGAGACATCTGCCTATATGTGGTCATCAAGGAGGAGCCCCAGACATACTAGCTGCACTTATGGGGTTGCTATGTAAATAAATGAGCTTGCAAAGAACGAGCCTTAGAACTAAAATGTGGTCATTTAAGTGGACAGAGAAAATGGTCTAAAGTAAATATTAGTTCTTCCCAGCATTGAACAGAAATAAAGAAGAGATGAGCACAATGGTTCTAGCCCTTAAAAAACTATGTGTACCACATCATAGAAGACATATAGTTATGATAACTTTTAATTAAGCACTTATGATCTGGGCATTGTAATGTTTTACAAAGATTATCTCATTTAATCCTTATACCAACACTGTAAGATGGGTACAATTATTACAGTTCTCTGTAATAGATAAGGAAACTGAGCTTTAGGTCAAATAACTTCCTTAAAATCACAAAGCTATCAAGTAAAATAGGCTGTAGGCACAAGTTCTCTATCCTTGAGCTACATACTGCTCCCATGTTCTCCTTAAGTATAACAGGAAAAAAATTCTTTTTCTATTACATTAGCAACTTCAAATACACACACACACACACACACACACACACACTATGTATGTATTCATACGAATGAATATGTATAGGAATATATAAAATGAAATTAATCAATCATTTACAGTCATGTGCGACATAATGACATTTCAGTCAATGTTCCATAAGATTATAATAGAGCTGAAAAATTCCTGTCGCCTAGTGTCGTTATAGCTAGCCATCCTCGTAGAGTCATACATTACTCACCTGTCTGTGGTGATGTTGGTGTAGACAAACCTACTGTGTGGCCATGAAAGTATAAAAGTGTAGCACATACAATTACGACCAGTACATACTACTTGATGATAGTAAACGGCTGTTACTAGTTTATGTATTTACTATGCTATACATTTTACTATTATTTTAGAGCCTACTCATGAAAAATACTTTGCTGTTAAACAATATGCTGCTATTCCAGCAGCAGCTCATCCATCTTGTGTTTACCACCTCTCTTGGTTGCATCATTTTCTCTTGTGCTTGATTTAATCTTGTGCTGTTTTGTACAGTAATGTGCTGTACAGGCTTGTAGCCTAAGAGCAATATGCTATACCATACAGCCTAGGTATGTAGCAGGCTACAGCATCTAGGTCTGTGTATATGCACTCTGTTTGTACAATGACAAAATCACCTAATGAAGCATTTCTTAGAATGTATCCCGTTGTTAAGGGGTACATGACTGTAATTGAGAGCAGAACTGAAAATTTTTCAATCAGAACCAACCAATTTTGATATCTGAGAAAAGTCTAACATATCATAAAGGACAAAATAATTTCCCTACCACTCTCCCCAGCTTTCCACTGCCTGGTAGGAATTAAAATCTATTTTTCTTGCTTTGAGATCATAGGAAAACTATCTCAACTCGGCAAGACAAATAATCATAATCCCCATGGACAAAGTTTATCAACTTATCCTCCTAATCATAGCATCATTATTAATATACTCTGTTCTGCATTGCCAAAGACTTTTAGTAAGTCTTTGTAAGTAAGATTAGTATGATTACACTTAAAGGGCAAACGGTTTAAAAAGAAAAGGTCTCCAGAATTTTTTGCTTGTTTTACTGAGAGTCTGCGTTACCAAAATCAAAGTGCCAAGTATTATCATTTCTTACTAATTTCATATTCTATTTTGCCATTTTCTCCATCTTCTTCACATCTGTATTTAATGAAAACAGCCAGTACGTTGGAGCTAGACTAAACTTTAAAGATCCTGTCAAGTATTAGGCAAAGACACAAAAAGTTAATATTTTTATAGGTCAAAGGTATGATGTGGACTTTAACCTGGAAGTGAAGAAAAGCCACTGTATAGCAACATGGTAAAGAAAACAGTCTCTAGAGACAGGTGTCTGGGTTTGATTCCTGGCTCTGCCACTTTGGAGTGGAAACTTCAAACATATTTCTTGTTAGTGGCAGGCACAAATATCTGGAATAAATTAAGGAGGCCTACGTGCCATCATATATGTGTTAAACGACAGACTGACTTACAAATGCACAGAGGCAGTATTTAGCACTACCTCTAAAATCAGATGATCATGCCCAGGTTTGAATCCTAGAACTATTACTTCTATTTTTTGAGATCCGGGGCTGGCAACTTAGGCTGCATTCAGATGTCCGGATCTGCAGAGCAAAGATGATAACAACAGTACCGATCTCATAGGTTAAAAATGATGAAATCAGATCATCTACACCAAGTGACTGGCTCCTAGGAAGTACTCAGTCAATGTGAGCTATTAACATTATTTTCAGGCAGAAAGGGAATACAATCAAATACATGCTTTAGAAAGATAATTCTGGGTCCAGAGTGTAGGATAGTCTGGATGGAAGAGGCTCTGCGAACATTGGGATAAGGTTCTTTCATACCCCACAGCTCCCAGGAACCACAAATATTTGCAGGATTTTATTCCTTCCTCAGGAAATTAGTGAGTATTGATCTCTAATAAAAAAGGTACAGTTAACACTGGATGACATATACATAAGGAAAAAAATATGCAAAATACTAAAACTCTTAGGAAAATGACTTACCGTCTCAAAAAATATTTGCATCATGCGGGCTCTCTTTTCCTCTGCGCTTAATCCTTTTTTCTTCGACTAAAGCACAAAAATTAAAAAGTAAACACTGAATTTTTTTTAAATGCTGCATTTTAAAACAACTTGGTATGAAACATTATCAGAAATTTTATGCATGGTCTTGTCTGATACCAACAGGTTTGCTAACTCTCAGAGCCAGGCCTAAAGACTGATTGATCTTAACTACTGCCATATGCCAGGTCTTGTAGTAGGTGCTGCCAGTATAATAATAAAAATTGTGATGGAGACAAAGCCTGGCATTTTGTAGAAATTCAATATTTATCAAATGATCCAGTGATAAGTCACTATATTTACTTTTAAAAGACTTATAATCTCTCAAAGAAAACAGACATAACTATCTACAGTTGATGAACAGGTACATGCTACCCAGAACAGAATGATTTACTGACCAGGACAGAATGAATTAACTCTGCCCTGGGGAGGTAGGAGGATTAGCTAGGAAAGTTAGAGATGAAAAGGATTTTGGTAAATTGAGCAACAGTGAGAAGGGTGTCCTGGTCAGACCATATACAGGCACAGTGTTACGGAAGTACATGGAATGCTCCAGAAAGACTCCGGATGATTACTGTAGGTGCGGATAGAGGGAGTGGGAGTGGCAAGTGAGGTGTGAAAGGTTGTCTGGGGCCAGATGATAGAAGGCTGACCGGCCAAAGAGAGCGGACTTTATTCCAGGCAATGAGGAGCTGCTGCACAATTTCTAAAGCTGGGAGTGACAAGATCAGAGCTACGTTTTGTAAGATCGTTGTAGCAGCACTGCAGAGGGTAGGTTGAAGGAAGGAAAACCTACCCAAGTAGAAAATGGAGCCTACTTTGGGTTACTATTATTCCGTAACTACGTTTTAGCCCATTTGAAATTAAGATAATTAGCATGTAACTGAAATGTATGTTAATAATAAATTTTACTATATATTGTAAACATAAAGGTAAAGTCCGAAAGCAAAGGAAAAAAACCGCCAAATTTCCTCAACGCAGAGATGCACAGAAAATAACAAAAAAGAACAAGAACAGTCATTTCTAGTGCTCCAATGGAGGATTCCACCGGAATGTCTCTTAAGTGATCTGCCTTTCTTAAAAACTGCAAATACATTGTTTAGTAAGAACTGTAAAACACTTTACACTACTTAAAAAGCAGACATAAATAAAACAACAATTAAAGATTGACCCTATCCAATAAAAAATTCTATCAGAAAACGTGAGCCTGTGAGATGGGGAAAGGGATTTGGAATTGCTGTTCTGCATGTACACCAGAGTCCAGGAGTCTTTATTCTACTTGCAGAACCTAGGAACCCACTAACTCTTTCACAGCAGTAAAACCATCCAGTGATCCTGGATGAGTTGTATGGGGGAAAATAAATAGCCAGTTTACATTTTCTCTTTTTCTTCTGTCCATTCTCAAACACTGCAAGTTCCCCAGGGTTCTCTACTGATCTCATACCTTTTCTTTGATCTCATCTGCTTTCATGGTTTTAACTAGCACTTACAGTGAGTCCTCGAATCTTTACATGAGTCCCTGAGTATGTTTCTGAGCTTTGATCTCCTTGTATCTACCTGCCTGCTGGACAGACTCCAGACTCGGGTCTAAACTGAACTCCTCCTCTCCTACATCTGCTCCCCGAACCTGCTGTTCTAGAGCTTGCGTTCAGTTAGATACCACCTTGTTTCCCCAGCCAGAGGCCTGGCAGTCATCCTAGGTTCCCTCATCTTACTCCACAGCCAACCAACCACCACCTTCTGCCAATTTCGGTGCTTAAGTATTTCACAAATCTATACAGTCTGCTTCATTCCTATTACCTCTACCTCAACTCAGGCCTGCATTACCTGTCTCCTGCAAATACTTGCAGTCCCACAAAGACGCTTTGTTTCACCCTTTAAGAACACATTCCGCACTGCCAAAAAGCAAATCTAACCATGCCTCTCCCTTGATTAAACCCTTCAGTGGCTTCCAACCATCCAGAAGTATCCAATATCCCAGAATGATACACAAAGGCCCTCTATCACCTGACTCCAATCTACTCTCACAGGTACCACTCCCCACATCAAATTCTACAACAACATGGAGAGCTAAGCAATTTGAGCTGTAACACAAAAACTACTTGTAATTATCCACTTGCGGACTGGTCTTTCCCATTTCTGTGCCTTTCAAAACATGTTTTTCTTTCTACCTAAAACACCTTCTTCACTTACCTATTCAAAACTCCAAAAAGTCTCCCAAGGCTTTGTTTAGGGATTCTCCAAGAGAATTTCCCTGAGCTCACAGGCTAGGCTGAGTGTCATTCCATGTGTTCCCAGAACATACCTTCAACAAATCAATTACTATGATTCAAAAGATGTGTTTACTTGTCTCTCTGACTGAAAATCTTCATACAGGAACTACCTTTGCCTTCCCAGAGCTTAGTGCCAGGTTAGACAGAGAAGACATAAAGGCCAGCCCTTAATTTCAGGACCATGTATCTAAAACCCCTAACCCCCAAATGAGAGGCTGTTCAAGCTCTTGAACCCCACAACACCCACTGGACTCCCATAAATATCATACGGGGTGAAATAATAATAAGGAATTCTGTGATAACCATTTATTGCCTGGCTTGGAGATAAATCAGAGAAATCTCTGGTAGGGCAGCACCTGACCGTATATACCTGACACTAAACCTAGGATGGAGAGCTAGAGTTCAATCCTGCTTTATCAGCCTCCATTCATGTTGGCCTCTGCAGTATCTGAATAAACCAAGCATGAAATTCACACCCAGTGAGAAGGCTCCCTCAGTTCATTCCTCACTTCACTGAGTCTTAACTGCCATTAGCATCATCTTAGCTTTTAAAAAATACTGGAGCCCAGGCACAAACCACATCGACTCAATCAGAATCTCTGAGAAGTAGCCTCAGCCTGGGCATGCGTATACTGAAAACTCTTTTCAGGGGTTTTAATTGTGCCCCAGGATTAAGAATACTGCTTTTCTTTTCTCACCCCAGAATCTAGAAGAAATGTCAGGGGTGCCTGTGGGGCAGTGAGAATCCCTTGAGGTCTCTGGTTTGTGGCGGCACCAGAGGAAAACAGACTGAGTTTTAGGAAAGGCTCCTAATGTCTGGGTATTATAAGCAGCTCCTGGAGCAGTGCATGGACTCCAGGAGCTGCTCCCCAGAAGCAGGCGATGAGGAGGATCTACTGTCCTATGGGCACAGATTTAGGAAAGTTCTTACCACTCAGCTCAGTAGCTATGAAAGTTACTCAAGAAAGGTGAACTGTATTATCCATTTACATTGTTTTCAGGCTAATTTATCCATCAGTCTCTCTTATGACTATAATTAGTTTTTATTATTAACTATGGAAGGAGAGTATCATGGCCAGAACTAAAATTACTAATATGAAAGTATGACTTATTAATCCATATTTAGAAATTTCTCTCTAAAAAAAAATCAATGATGGCTCATTTAATAGATAAAATTAAAGAAAATCTGATAGTATAAGTTAGAGATGCATTCAAATTAGTAAGTAAGAGGACTCAAAACGTGACTTCAGGACAACAAAGGTACCCTCTCCAATTAGGAGTTATGGAATTCCTAAAGTCAGCTCTGTTGATCAATTACAATAAAATTTTACAAAATTAAAAGTAGATATCTGCTGCCCTCAGAAGTGGCAAACTACATTGCATTTCTTTAATTCCAAAAATATGCCTGAATTTATAATTCTTTACCCAGCAAGCCCAACCAAATCAAAACAGCTATTAATTCTCAATCAGGAAAGAGAACAAGTTATCTTTGATCAACAAAACACTAAACTTATTTCTTAATCATTAATAAAAAAATAGAATGTATCTTACAAAAACTTTTATTCTAATTTGTTTCATGTTTCTCCATGATCAGAGGTAAGCATCCGAAAAGAGTTAAGAGCACATTGAACTATTAAGCATTCAAGGTAATTCATGAGTAGATATAAGTTAAAGGGATAAAGTTAATGCATTTGTGTGGCTTAGTTCTCAGTAGTCAGTTATGTTAGGCCAAAAACTTTATAAAGAGAAATATGATATCACGGAGCATTGGTAACAGGTTTTAATGTGGTCCTGTTTGTCTTCTTTCATGTCCAGGTGCCTGAGATGGTAGTTTAACCACAAAGAAGCCGTTATCAGTTATAATTACATCTGGACATGTATCTTCAAATAAACACCGTACAACCTAAATCCCTGTCCACCATTAGCTTTGCAAAATAACGGCCACTTAACTAAATTAAGATATTAAAATCTTAGATCCATTTAATTAGATGTTTATTCTCTGCCAACAGCAGCAGAAAAAAATTGCATGAAACGCTGAAGCTTTATGAAACGATGTGATGAACAGAAAGACATTAACTTCAGAGATGATTTGAAACCTTAACCAGGAAGTAACCCATCATAGCATGCAAGGAAGACTAACACAGCGCGGTGCTTCCCTAATAAAACGACTAACTCCCTACCAACCGGCAGTCTGCAGTACAAAAGTGCAATACCTGCCCTTCGGTAAAAATAATAACAATAATAATAAATTCACGGGCATCATCTAACTGACGACGATTGCTCATAATTATCTAAACTGTGAGCAGTTCAGAAATGAGCTCTAATGTTGCAATGCACAGAACCACTCAATTGTCAAACATCAAGACAGCCATTAGGATCTACGGCGCCCCTGCGCGCCTGCCCGTTGTCTCGCTGACGCTTTCTTTCCCAGTTCTGAATGAGGGACTGCACTTTTTGGTGGCCGAATCCGGGGAGCCGAGGCACAGGTTCGGAAGTGACTCGTAGTCTCCCGGGCAGATGGCGGAGTTTGTAAGTCAGTCGGGTCACGCTCTCGAACAATTCGCGTGTTTAACCTAACCCGACCCGGCGACAGCTCCAGGGCGCAGAGCGGCAGGGAGGGCGGGAG